TTAAAAGTCATCGCTAGAAAGTCATGCGGTCGCTCCTACTGAGTGATAGAAAAGGATAGTGTATGTTGCACATCACTACACTTAACATGCATGCATTCGTGGCCGATATCATTGTTGGCAGCACAATGGAAAAAGAGTTGTTTTGACGAGCTGAGTGGCGAGAACATTCTGCCGTTCTACTTCGACGTTTTACTGATATAATTTTTTGTTATAACATTTGATTTATGTATACTAGATTTTACAAGCCAGAGAATCATCTCTGGCTTGTAAAATCTAGTATACATAAATCATAAATCAAGCCAGAGAATCATCTCTGGCTTGTAAAATCTAGTATACATAAATCAAATGTTATAACAAAAAATTATATCAGTAAAACGTCGAAGTATACGTCGAAGTATAGGAGATTTTTTTGAATCGGTTTTATTTTTTTGAGTACTGTTTTATTTTGCCAGTTTTTATGATGAACGACATGTGAATATATTATTTAAAGATCTATAAATAATATCATTTATTTTGATGGGGCCAACCCTGAAACCCTTTCAAAGAAAAATATATTCATCAAATTATATAAGCCACTGTGACCATAATTTGTCTAAATATTAATGATACACCCATCAGGGTGTATCATTAATATTTACCATCAGCAGGAGAAAATCAAAATTTTCTCTAACAGTTATTGACTTGAAAAGCTTGTAGACATCGGAGATGAGAAAATAGAAATATTTTTATGCACTACAAGCTTTTGGCAAGCAAAAAATGGTATTGAAGTACATAATTTATAACATTTCAAATTAAATTTTAACACACAAATACAAATCATTTTATATACGAAAAAAAAAAACACATTTTATGTATGTTGAGCTATACTAGATGGTGTTAAGTATATTTCTACATCGCACTGTTTAGGTCAAGTTTGAGTTTTAAAATAAATTTTTTTAAGAACTAAGCGTATCGGAGACGAAATAGAAATATTTTTACGCAATACAAGCTTTTCAAGTTAATAACCGTTAGAGGAAATTTTGATTATAAGTACTTTAAACGTTTGGAATGATTTAATTATTTACGTTTTAGTGCGCACATATAAAAGCTCGTTTTTAAAAACTTTATTTTATTTTATTGAAATTTTTTACTTTTTAGTTTTGTCTCAATATGTTGTTGTTCTCATAAAGTCGGACCTAGCTATGTCACCTGACATATCAGTCCATTGGAAATTGCGTTTAACTTTAGTTCTAAGATTTGCACTAATTAACATACTAACATATGTAATATACTAATAAGGCAAGTTAAATAATAGCTTGTAAAAACATGAAAATTGAATTATTTCAGCACAAAGTTTCCACAGAGAATTATGACTGACTTTAGCGAGTTAAATATGTCAACGAAGTTCAAACTATCATCATAGTACAACATTCGCATTTTTTAGTACGAGTATAACTAGACAAAGAAATTATTTATTCCTAAAATAGATATTTCAACTTATATATAGATACTCTTAATTAAACTAGACAACATGGCATAATCAACTTGTTTAGATTCCAACTTAAGTAACTAAATCCCTCGTACATTGGAGTATCTAAAACAACGAAGGTATCACCACACCCAGAACCGAGACTATATAGAAAAATTTACTTTGACCTGACAAGGAATCACACTCTCCACCTCAGAGGTGGCGATATCTTGTAACCACTGTGAGACTCACTCAGCTAAGAGGGGTGGCAAACATCAGTACTAATACAGTGTTATTTTCTGTTTTAATTATCGATTCTTAATATACATATTATAATTATACGAAATATGCGGTATATACATAACAAATAACTACAATTGATCATCAGTCGCTAATCGACGGCACAGTTGGCGGTGAGGCGAGCCAATTGGTCATAACATATTATGAGTGACGGACGATCGGCTCCCACGACATTTTATCTAAGGGCTACTGTTGTTTTTTATTTGAAACATAATTGGATGTATCGACTGTTTTAACAATTAATGTAGTGCCGCTTATTATTGCAAAGGTAAAGTAAAACTCAGTAATCAGTACCGATCAATAAAAAGACTAATTTGTACTTACACTTAGTATTTGAATAGGGACGATTGCATTAGATAAAGAAAAACCTTTTTAATGAATATATCAAAAAGGCTGTAGAACATAATTTATGGCATAGAAAAATTTGTAGTATTATGTAGTTCATTTTAGTTTAATGCTAGTAATATAATTTTCAGTCAATTGATTTTTAAAATTTTTGATGAACACCCTGTAATATTAAAATACTGTCGGAACCTTTATTCAATTGATGGTTACTGCATGCAATGATCACGGCAAACAATAATTTTACCGCGACACGATATTGTCGCTTACATTTATATGAGTGACAGTGACAGTTAATAGAGTTTTTCCTATAGATCTTTACGTTTCGTATATATTAAAAATAAACGCAAAATATAGTAACGATTTAAAAAAAACAATTTAAAAATGGTTGTTAATATATACAACAGGTATGAAAGAGATGTCCTGATATACTGATTGACAGAAAACTCACAGTCTAAAGCGCTGGTCGCGGAGACTTGAAATTTGGAGGGTAATTTCCTCTTATTACGTAGAGGTGTAATAAGAACGGAATTTTGGAAATTGCACCCAAAGGGGGGTGAAAAAGAGTTAAATCTATCTAATATTACTTATAAAGATAGAAAATTGGTATTTAAGTACATAATTTATAACAATTATAACATTTTAAATTATTTTTTTTTTATAATATACCAGTACAAATAATTTTATATTACGAATAAACATTTTATGTGTTGAGCTATATTAGATGGCGTTCAGTATATTTCTATATTGCACTGTTTAGGTCAAGGTTGAGTTTTAAAATAAAATGTTCTAAGAACTAAGCTTTGCTATACTAGATGGAAACTGAATTGCGTTATCGTTTTGTTCAAAGAATTTTGCGTAGATGTCAATTTTCGATTAAGTTTTGTATAAACGATTTATCCTTTTCTTTTCATCTGTATTTCAAATTGGATAAATAGATTTAGAGTTATCTGAGACAAAGTACTGATAATAATATACCAATATGTATGTATCGAACATAAGCAGGTTAGTGACGTATATAGTTGTTGCTGTACCTTAAATAAATAAATATAGCTTGTTGTTAATGTTAATCTAATATCGCAGATATTTTGCTATTATTAAAATAAATAATCATTCGTATCGTGATTCTTGACAGTTAACTAGTTCACTGGGCCTTTGCACGCAGCCGCACTGTAGAAGAACGTTGTGATGGGTGGCTAACTCATCTGATCAACGGTTAGCCGTGCAAATGAATGTTGCTATTCTATTATAGGGTTAGCCACCTGATGAGACAGATCTGTTACCCGATTGGCTACGACATATTCAGTATATTAACCTCAATATTGTTTTCATTAGTTCAGACAAAATCTTCTCGATTTAAACTAAAAAAAAAACAACTGTGAGTTTTAAAGTCGTCTAAGCAACTGGGATTTGTGTTGTTCTCAGTCTATTTATTTCGACTGATAATCTCCTATTATATTATGTAATGAGTGACAATGAGGATAGTTTAATTATTCCAAACTAACATTATACATGCGAAGGTAAGTCTCTGTATATGTTTGTAACTATACCATGCGGACGAAGTCGCGGGCAAAACTAGTCCTTAATAAATTAAATGAGTTACCTGAATTTGTTTTCCGCCGGTGTACTCAATAAGAATTATGTTTAACTTTTTGGACGTTCGCTTTATTTTATGCAAAAAAAGCTAGCTATTCCATTTTAGTATTTTTCAAGCTTCTAACAGTAACCGTAGACCATGACTATGGATATTTTTATACGTTAAACATATTCAACCATAAATCTAGCACCAATAGTCACCATAAATACAATAAAAATAAAAAACCGTTTAAAATTGGTTATGATTTTATCTTTTAATAATGACTAGCATCGAAATATCTTTTTAATATCAGATTAAAAGCAACCTTTCGAAAATCTAGTCTCAGATTTCTGATTCAGCTTCATCGATCTGTTTTAATACAAGTAATGAAAGAGACGGGAGTATTCTGGAGTCATATTTAAATGTGAAAAAACTTAGAAAACAAGAACTTGTTTTTGATAAATATAAACATGATACCCAAGCTACTATAATAAGTTGAGATGAAAAAACTGAAAGATTAGACTAGGGTTTAAGGAGGAGACTGTCATACAATGGTAACTGTATTTCATGAGTACTTATGGGACTCACGATCTTTTTAAAGCTCTGTCTTCACAACAACATTGATAACGTACAATAAAGGTACAAACTATTATAAAATAATTATGGGAAAATTGATAATAATTTTGACATTATTCTTTATGGTATTCTGGAGTCATATTAAAATGTGAAAAAGAAGCTATATTTATTTATTTAAGGTACAGCAACAACTATATACGTCACTAACATGCTTATGTTCGATACATACATATTGGTACATTATTATCAGTACTTTGTCTCAGATAACCCTAAATCTATTTATCCAATTTGAAATACAGATGAAAAGAAAAAGATAAATCGTTTATACAAAACTTAATCGAAAATTCCGTACCAGGCGTGAATAACTTAATAAGTCGAAAATGCACATTTTTCAGGGCAGCCATTTCTAATTTTAATTTTTTTCTGTAAATTCAGATTTTATGTTATTAAATATTTTTTTATCTCAATGTAATTCATTTGCTTTGAGTTTTCAAATAACTTATGATTATTTAATGAATATACCCTATTTATAATAAAAAAATGACATATCAAGTTGTTCACCAATGAGTTATCAAGTTATTCACCTAAGTACCTACTGTAAGTACGTATGTAAAAAAAATAAAATTAATAAGACGTATAATCTCTGCCTGCCTCTTATGGGACTGAAATAGTGATATTATGTAAGTAGGTATGTATAGATAGTGAAAAAACGAATAATTGCAAAATAATTATTTTTATTTCAAAAACAAAGTTATCGAATTAGTTGAATTCGTCTCCCTCTACTTCTGCATCAGGGTCTTCGAAGTCTAAATCAGGATCGATGTTGGATACGTCACGGTCAGTTTTTATGTTTTTATAAAATTCGTGAAAAATAGGATCTATAAGTGGCAATAAATCCATCAAATCCTTCTTTTTTTCTTTACTTATTGGTAAAGTCTCTTTTGAAACAACATCTAAATGTATAGTGTCTAAATTGTATTTACCTCTTTTCCTGTAATTTATGACTCTGAAAGGGCTTTCATTGTCAAAATTTGTCTTAAAACGTATTTCTCCGATAGGCTTCTTATACTGCAGCCATCTCACGGGTTGCCATAAAAATTTTTCACCACAAGCATCCTTTTTTTTAATAGTAAATGGACCTTTCTTCGAGCTCAATTCTGCAAAATTGAAAAAATTGTCTAGTTTCATGCTTACAATGGCAAATGCGTTATTAATCTTGCAAGATCTTATCAGTTGCATCCAATCGTTAAGATGGTTTATTTTAAGCTGCGTTTTCTTTTTAGTCCTTTCAATTAGGGCATGATCCGAGTCACATTCCATGTGGCTATGTCCGCTAATCAAAAACTTATGATTGATTGTCTCCAAGGTTGGATGCACATGCAATAAATACATGAACATCATTGCAACAGCATTATTTTTATTCTGGCCACCACACGTGTCAGAATAAAATGTGACCTCTGTAACTTCACGTGGCAAATTTTGTAAAAAATGCCACAAACACGAAGCAATTTGATTCGCTCCTCGAGCACCGATGGTTTCGTCCCACATGTAACAAGTAGCTTTATCATCTCTTAAGTTATGAATCGTAAAATTGTAAGACCATAGTTGTCTCTTATAAAAAGAGACAGACGTTTTCAGGAATGGCGTAGGTAAGCATTGCTGAAGATCAAATGCATATGCTCGAAAATTTGAACTGCGCTTTGCTTCATCTTTATCCTTTCTTTTTTCTGCATAAGCGTTTTCGGCTTGTGATTGATGCTCTCTCAGCTCCACTATAAAGTTGGTCTTTTCCTCTCCTTCTGTTAACGCTATCTTTGTATTCAAAAGATCGCATGTGTGGCAAGTATCTTTAGCCGGTTTTTTGAATGATAAGTTTAAATCGTGAAAACACTGGGAATACAATTTAAGTGAAATAGGATTTGGGCAACCTTCTTTATATAAACGATACATAGCAGCTATAGAAAGGTCCGATGATAAATATTTTTTATTTGTTCTATTTCTGCAATAATGACTTTCGTAGTTTGGGAATGATAAGATGTGATCTTTAGCAGATTTTAAATCATCAACAGTCCTTTTATTTTTAGATGGCTGATGTCCTCTTGTATCAGTTGGAATGATTCCGGTTGCAGAGTGCTTCTTTTTATCCATTACAATGTTAATGAAACCTTTTGTTTCCCCAAAAGTTTTGCAAAAACAGTCTTTACAAATTGGTTTGCTTTCATTATTTATTGTTAATGTATATTTGCAGTAGCAATCTCTATTAATTGTTCTGCTGTCGGTTTTCTGTGTTTTCTTTGGTAATATAGTAATATGGCTGGCAATATACGCTGCCCTTCGATCTCTGCTTCCTAGAGTCCAATATTCATCAAAGCACAGCTTTCTTTCTAATTCAGAAAACCGCTCAATACATTTCAGTCTACAAGAACTTAGTGCTCGCATTTGCCTCGCAGCAATTTCTTTACCTTTTTCTGTAACGTAGCTTTGACCAGAATTTCTTAGTTTTTTACATTCTTCTCTCTTTTTCCTTGATCTACCTTTCCTTTTTTTGGTATGTATTTGATCTTCTGAGACATCAGGCAGCACTTCGCATATAGTCTCGTCATTAGTAACTGCTATTCTATCTATGACAGAACGAAGATCATTATTGGAAGGATTGTTATTTACTGGACTACTTGTAAGAAATCTATCAATCTCAAAACCACTGCTAAAAATAGATAAACTTTCATCTTGGCCTTGACATGGTAAATTCACGTGAACTTGGGCTGAAGTTATTATTGGATTACATAGTTCTTCTATCTCACTATCTGTATAAGACTCATTGCACTTTTTCGGTAATTCATAGTCTGGATCAGCGACACTGTCATCGGAAAGATTTAGATCTTCATCGAGGTTTATATTGCTGACTTGTTGAGTGCTTACATCTTTATTCAGGCTTTTCTCAGAATCGTAGATTAAATGGAACCTTTCGCAATCTACATCTATTCCTTTTAATGATGTTCCTTCAAATATGTTGTCTTCGTAAACTGCACACTCATTAGTATCCTCTTTACAATCTGAACTTTTTGTTTCCAATGGCTGTAAATTCCCTTTACATGAATTTTCTGAAACGGTAAATAAATAAGTATAAGTAATTGATAAAAAAACATCTACCAAAATTCATCAAGATCCGATTCCGCAAAGGCGTTGTAGCGTTTTCACTACAAAGAAAGTAAAGCCTCATTTTCTGCGTAGTCTAGACAGTTACTCGTGCACTCAATTTAATCTACACTTTTACAATCTAAACTCTCACCAGTATCTTTCAATGATTTTCCACGTAATTCTTCTAAAAAACGGTATCTTCTTGCCGCCATTATTACTTTCATTACAACCACACAATTGTTATTTGTTTTTAATTATTCACCACGCGCTAAAACAAATCAAACTAGGTCAAGGACACTAGAACAAGTGACACGAAAGACATGCGAGTTCCTACGTAAAAAATGGCGTGATTTAAGGACAAACCGCCAAAACTGCAGCTGTCTCTATTTAACATATCACTTTGTCTCATCACACGCGCAACGGATAGAAAATGTAATAGACGATAGATCTATTTGTCACAAAATACACACGCATCTCGATGCGGTAATAACTGAACAACTTGATTTATACTATTAAAACGTTAAGAAGGTTGTTGGAATAAATCAATATCTCGTGTTGTTCGTTAATAGTTGGCAGTATTATAATGACATGTTGAGTTGTATAAATAATTATAATTTGTATGTTTTAATATCTCAAGATGTCACATTGTACCCTTTAGTAAGGGAGTTATTTAAAAATTCACATGTTTGCTGTGTGCGGTAAAACAGATCTATCGACTTAGTCATTTGTTCACCCTATAAATAAAACAATCCTAATGCGTATTATACATTAAAAAAATATATATGTAAGTCGACTTATCAACCTATTCACGCCTGGTACGGAATTGACATCTACGCAAAATTCTTTGAACAAAACGATAACGCAATTCAGTTTCCATCTAGTATAGCAAAGCTTAGTTCTTAGAAAATTTTATATTAGGTAATTTTTTATATATAAAATGGTTGGTCCCATTAATTCTTAGAATCGTCTTATTTTTTATTGTAATTCGTAACGTAGTGAAAAAAACTTAAATCAGTTCAATGTAAATTACATAAACACTGGCAAACACCATAAAAAGCGATACTCTTTTTCCGAATCAGGCCTCGTCATTCCAATTAACCAAATGGACGAGCCTTCGCGGAGGGAGTCGATACACCATTCATGAAGTGAAACCGATCAATTCGTTTTTTTTTGCTTCAGAGGCATTATAAATATGTTCGCTTAAAAATAAATATTGACATTAATCCGATCAAAGAGCAAAATATATAAAACAAAGAACTAATTTTTAATATCTGGAGACTCATAACAGTTTAAAAGGCAATATCAAACCTTAAAATAGAGAGTTAGTAATGGTTTGTCGTACCAGCGATAATTTATTTTGTTCTAGGTATCCGCATGCAAACTTTTTATCATTGATCTTCAACATCATTTCTTTTTTTAAATCACCTTTCGTAATTTGAAATTTTGAATAATCCAATATGCTCTTTATGAATGTCAGTTCGTAAAAAAATCATCTGGCGTGAACATGATAACTTAATCATATAAATTTAAATATATAAATCTAATAATAATAAAGTCATTATAATTTAAATAAAAAAAATGTAAGGCCCCACGTTGGGCGCCAGTTGTGACGGATTCGATGCTTAGACAAATGAATTAAAGACTGCCTATGCTTGAAAATTTGATTTATTTGAGGATAATAAGATAAAACTGTTATTTACGAAATAATTACGAAAAGTGAAATAAAAAGAAATGATGTCGATTATGGAAGACAAAAAGTTTGCATGCTGATACCTAGGGCGAAATAAACGACGGTCGTACGACGTACCGTTATAAGTTTACTCAATACATTCACAACCAATTGATATTCCAATATGCTTAGTTAGATACTATTACTTACTTCTTGGCGACGATAAATATACTTTTGTTCAGCCCGCGCCAATCGGTAAAAGCAATTGCAGGATTAGTTTTTGTATTGCTTTAAAAATAAACGACAGGCTGGCAACCTGTTATATGCGACGACTAACAATGAATGAATGAACGAATTCTTTATTGTAAACCATAAATAAGACGGATATATAAACATAAGTGAACAGTACAATCGAAGGCCTTTGTTATAATTGTGTTAAGTTACTCTATGTGTATACTATAAATTAGTCTATGGTCTAATGTCTACTTCTTGTGTCTTTGGTTATGGTCACCTATGTAGTTGTCAGCGTGCTCTAATAAAATAAGTAAAACTTATGTATAAAAGGATTGTTAAGTGGGAAATAAATAATTTTTACTTATGGTGCAATTTATAAATAATACAAACAACTTTTACATTGCCTTATTGCTGAAAAGCAATTTCTTCCAAGCAACCTTATGTTGTTGTGAAATTTACTAAAATATGAGAAGAGTAGTAAGCGGTGTATATAGAGTAAACAAAATTCAGAGATGTTCAGGGTATGATTTTTGTCATTACTTATTTGCATATTTTTTAGCTTTTCTTGATAACTGTTAGCATGGATTATGCCTTGGCCTTCTTCGACTTTTACATCCTTTAATATATTGAAAATTTGTTATATATTGTTTTCTAACAATGTATGTCATGTTGACATCATCCTTAGATATGTATTTTGTGGACCAACCGTTAAAGTAGACTGATCAACATCTAACTGAACAGATCACGATCCGCTGCCATCTTGTGATTCGGCTAACTATTTCATGCGCTATATAAAGTTAGAAATAAATGAATGTAACGTATTTCTCAATTTAGCTAACTAGTGACTTGGCATTATCACGCTTGAGCGCCTCGTATTCATATAGTTTTATTGGTTGAATTTGGTGGTGCTAATTATATTAGAAAATGTATGGCTAACACCATACTTTGGCAAAAAAATATTTTAAAGGTTGGCTTGACTAAGTGATGCCTTTCATTTTCAAAAAGAAACCAACAACCAACGAAAATAATTAGGTCTAGATAAGGTTACAACTGCGATCAGAACACCAGTCTTTAATGCTACTAGGGGAAAGGTGTGTTATTTAAATGGACTATCAATCAGATGGTGAGTATTTTAATCGATTTGGTCAAATATCCGGATAAGTCATCCTACGACGATATGGCGATAAAAACGGCAAATCAGGAAAACCGCCCAGACAGATGTTGATTTGCCCATTTTAACGATTAGCCTAGACAAATATAATTAAAGCTATTTATGTCATGTAAAATCAAAAGTGTGACAACACAAAAGGCCCAATTACTTGACAAGTCAAAACTCATTACAACTGAGACGGGACTAAGTAAATGACAAATGATCTAAGACCTAGAATTAACTTAGCAAGTACCAAACGAGCTTCACGAAGTTCGAACCGAGTTAAATGGGAAAATGTTCGCCACTCACAATGTGATAGAGTTATAAAACTTGTGAAATGATGTAAGATTCTTCTCTCTTAACTGAGAGACAGATGAGAGCTTTTAGCTTTTGAAGTTATGTATATATTAGTTTCTTTTTTCTTCACCTACAATCCTTTTTGAACTCTTTTTCACCGACTTCAAAAAAGGAGGTTTTCAATTCAAGTTGTATGTATGTAATTTCGTTAGAATGCAGTAATATTCACATATGTTGGTCTCTATAGGCTTTCTTAATACGTGTGTAAAATTTTATAGATGTATGTTTGTCCACGGATATCTTGCTAACTAGATGATTTTTTCAGTAGTTTCAAATCGTTTCATTAGTTTTGAAGATGTAATCTATTGAAATTTGAGCTTTATGAAAGGAGTATAAAATTAACCATCTTTTTAAGGAGTTAAAATATATGTTATTTTTAACCAACTTCAAAAAAAGGAGGCCGTCAGTTTATCTGAGTGTGTACTTACGTCATTAACCGACGTCGTCGACGTCATTATCAATTTGACCTGTACGTTTATAATCGGCCTTGAAAGAAATAGGTAATCGATTTGACCTATATGTATGTAATTTTGATGGAATATGGCGCAATATTCATATATGTTAGTTTATATGCACTTCTAACTAAACACGTAGCACACGTATCTAGATGTATAATATGTATGTGTGTCTATATGTTTGGCAATTTATTTCTCGTAAATTAAACATTAGACTAAAATTATACTTTTTTGTTCGATTAATTATTTTTTAACTTGAGAAAAACAAAAGAGAAAACATACTAAATGACTTAAGAAACTAAGTGTTACCAGATCAGTAGGTTAGGTAAGTTTAGAACTGCAACCTGCAAAGAGGGAAATTTTTTATCGTCAATAAAATTGTAATAAAATCGATTTTATTGAAGATAAAAATTTATGGCATCAGTTCTCTCTTTTCAGTTTTTTCCCTTTATTATTATTTTTTAAAGTCCGTTTAATTTTTTTAAATTGTTTTTTAATCAATCATTGTAATTTTTTTATTTATTATTATATTAAGCTGAAGTTCAAATTAGTACACAAAAAGAAACTTATTCAGTATTGCCACTAACATATAATCACACGAACATTTTAACCCATGTATACTAATATTTCAAAGCTGAAGAGTTTGTTTGTTTGTTTGAACGCGCTAATCTCAGGAACTACTGGTTCAAATTGAAAAATTATTTTTGTGTTGAATAGACCATTTATCGAGGAAGGCTTTAGGCTGTATAACATCACGCTGCAACTATAAGGCGCGAAGAAATAATGGAAAACGCGGACGAAGTCGCTGGCGGCCACTAGTAAAAATATAAAAGCTATCTTTAAACATGGGTATCTATAAAAAAAGCTATCATTAAAAAAGAAATCTTTACTCAACCGATTTCGATATTATTTCTGCGCTACTTCGAATCGTCTTGTAGTGAACTCACGACATCATACTGTTACAAACTGTACTCGCTTTAAACAAAAAGATTGATTTAAAATCGAACATATAGTCAGCATCAATTGAGTGATCCAAGTCCAGAACGTTAGTTCTCTAATACGATATGAAAATTAAAATTCATACGTTGTCTCAGCATCAATTACATCAGAGTAATCACATATTGAGAAATCATGTAATTGCGGAAGTCACTATTAGTGCGGAGCTCGTCAAATTATTTAAAATCTATTTTAGAATCTCAATCTTTAAAGCAATGTATAATGAATCAATTTTTTGTACACAGGGCACTTCAGATTACCACATCATTCTAAATTTCAATAATTGATTTTTAACCACCCTCAACGTATTAAGGTTTAAAATCGAGTGTAATAATTAGAACAAATTTTCAT